CACGAGCGATTCCCGTGCGTTGATTTGCGCCCTCGTCGTAAATTTAACGTGTACTAAACGAAGTTGCGTATTACGTTCGTGCGGTACAGCGGCGCGTTTGTAGGAAACAGTACATTGTGCACACACGAGTCATACACGAGGTCTTCGGCTCGTATTCCCATCGCGGATTTAACACCGAACAACGCCGGGCTGCGGTTCTACAGAATGTAAACGAAGGCCCGGAACCGAGCAGCCATATTTGACGCTAAATGCTCGACGAGAGGCGCAAGAGAGGCGATGTGTGTGTGTGTGTGTGTGTGTTTTCTCGGCCTAAATACGCCGTTCCGCGTGAAAGTGGTGACACTATGACGGATTCAAGCACAAAATTTTCGGTCAAAAAGCGCCCGGGTTTATTTATAGCGCAACAGTAAAGCGCGCACACGGAGGAGGCGATGCATTGTTTAAGCACAGTCGATTAAGCACAGTCTGTCCAACGTTGCTCCGATCCCGTCCCTTAAAACACACGTTTAATGAATCGACTTGGTAGAGACGACCGTCGCGTGTAAGACCGGGCGCCGTCGGGTTTGCGGTATTTACCGGCGACCGCGTCAAACGCTGAAATCGATCGTCGCCGAAATTATTATATATAAGAAGCTGCTCTGATAAATAAGGTAACGAGAAGCTTTCGCATTAATTATCGGTTCACCTCGACACGCGACATGACGTCTCACCTTACGTATCGACGAGAGACCTCTTCGTAATTAGCGTGATACGTCCCCTTCGGGACGCCTCGACGAAGAAACGAGTCGTGTCGGCGATCGAGGATGCAATTAGTTTCAATAAATGGCCGTTATGCCGAGAGAAAAAAGATGTCGACACCTTACGACGACAACTGTAGATAACGGATTTCCACCCCAGTTCATTCTCGGGATCTATTCGTTATTTTGTCTTTGATTATGTTCGCGCAGTCTGCCGCCCGTAAAACGTAAAACTCGGTCAACCATTTAACAGTCGCGCGATACAAAAGAGAGAGAGAGAGAGAGAAAAAAGCAAAAGAGGAAATTACGAATGATAAAACATACGAACTGTAAGCACCACCGCAAAAATTCTTGCGGACAATGCGCGCGACGTATCGGTGAAACATGTAAAATGAAACCAGTAATTATTACCGGTACATCCTTCCTTCCTCGAAAAAGTCGCCTCTGTTTATTCTTCCGGAATGTTACAAAAAGAAGAAAATATCGCGGTACACGCTAATTACACGCAAATGTATCACACCAGCGAGGCACGCATTTTATTCTTTTGACACACTAATTATTTTCCGTTCAGTAAATCGCCATTTCAGGAGATACTTTTTTCCCTTTCCATCCCTCCCTTTCCGTCACGATCTTAGAAATTAATAACGAGGATATTATCGTTTTATTACGTAATCTCGTAATACGATAGCGCCATTCTCGCGATATTGGGTTATATCAATATTTTACGAAACGTTAAACATATTTTCCGCGTAATAGCAATTATAAATTTATCGTAAATACGATATTATTCCGATATTTTGATCAATTGCTCCGGTTGTAGGGGGAACATTGTTATCATGCATGTGCCCGTATTTAAATCGGTCTTCGGTAGCCTTGAGCACAAAAATACATTATACCTTCATAAATATCGCAAGATATAAAGCAAATCAGATAACCTTGTAAATTAAAGGATATAGTAAATACGTTTCACACTGTTTTATTCACTGTCGTATATCAATATTTGTATATATGGGATATAAAAATTTATTGTATTTATTACCTATCCTTTAATTCGCAAACGGTGAATAGTTGAACGCTTTATCATTTATTAAAGATGTCCTCCATACTTTCCAGGCTTGAGCCGTACGTATTCAAAAATATCAGCTCCATTTTCGAAACGGAGAAGAGGTAAAATCGAAGTTCTGAGAAAGTCTAACGTATATAGATGCAAGACGAATAAATGATAATCGCAGCTTCGTGTGCACCGCAATAAATTTATTTTATCGGTAGAAGTATGTATTATTGTCTCTGTAATAGAATACATACACACGCGCAAGGGAAATCGCTACATAGAAATCACATCCGCGGGACATTCGCGAGAAAACTATCCTCCACAGTCTGATAAATAAATATAATAGTACGACGCTCTTGGAAGAAAACTACGAAAGATCCGAGTTGCGATATCAAAATTTGCCTTTATAAAACGAAGACGATGTTTGTATTCGTTTTGTGAGCAAACTCATTTTACGTAAGATCAACCAGCTTAATGTTCGGTTCAAGTTCTTCAAAACATACCAGGGCAACTTTTATATTCCGAATCAACAAAGTTGACTTTTGCCAAATCAAATATCTCTTTACGTTTCTTAGTAAAAATTAATATTCTTAGTAAAAATTATTAGACGGACGTAATGAACTTTGTTGGCATCAACGTGTATTTGCAGCGTCATAAAAAGTCATTAAAAACATATAAGTCATCGAAAATATATCAAGAAACATGACAATTTTAACCACAATTAATCATGAAAAATTGCCTATAGCCAGACATATAATGAGCAGATCTATATAGTCTAACCTTATAAGGCGCAAATGGTTGAAGCCGGATTTAATTAGACTGAAATGGCAGCGTAATGGCTGAAACGTACGCATCACGCTGGAACGTTTCAATACTGCGCTGTCATTCCGCGAGAGCGGAAGGGATGAAAGGGTTAAGGTTACCGTTACGCTTAACCGTGAACTATGAATTACGGTTGTCAGGCAACGAGGAAGGAATCCGTTATCAGTCCGGTGAAATACGCGTATGGAGATGGAGACTGTGTTCACTAATTCATGCGGCAATAACGTCGGCCCATATTTTGCATTCCGCGAAAATGGATTTGTCTGTTTGTGTGCACACCTACGAACGTACGCGCGTAAAGCGGCGGCAGCTTTGAGCATTTCGCCCCCATACGCGCACATGTACACGACGGATAAGCGCGACATAAGCGCGCTACGTGCTTCCTACGTACATGCACGCTTAGAGTTGAGATTTCGCGTGCGCATTCGTCGCAGCCGGTTCCTTCCTACGCGCCTCGATCAAGCGCCGTCAAGCGCTTTATCGAGCTTTCGTCAAATCGTGAGGTGCAAATTGATTACGCACACAAATCGCGCGCGCGAACACGCGCCGCATGCTAAGGAAGCATTCGTCTCCGCGCGAGTCAAGGAAACGCGCGAATATCTCTCGTCCGATATGTTACGGGTGCTCTCTACTTGGCCGTCTCGCGACGCGAAAGCTCGTTGATCAACGAGCTTGCCGTGCTATAAAAACTCTGACGCGAGAAGCAATCACGGGCTACGGCACGTTGGAGGTCGACCTTTGGAAATTTAACCAATCTTTTTGTTGCGTACCTTGTGCGTTTTTGACGAGTCACGTTACCTGTCGCTCTACCGACGTTATTATAAATCGCTACTAATTAACAAGGGAGAAATTTCAAAATAAATCTCTTTCAAATATCTTATCGTGTGATTATTTAATAGATCGGATTAATAGAATCGCAGCTTTTGTCTCGAAAGTTTACTTAATCTTTTGATTTGAAAACCGCTCGTCTAAAATCGCGAGAAAATAAATCTGCACCATTATCGAAATAATTGCGTTAATATCGGAATGTATTCTCAGCTCCAGAGAGGTACTTTATTGTCGTGTAAAGGTCGTTCAACAAAAAGCATGCGTAGTTGAACGACGATATTTTACAGCGATGCAATTAGCTCGCGCTTTGCAAGAACTTCCCGCAATCGTAATCGATTATAATGTATTTCAATTAAAATTTGCCGAAATGGATAAATTGATCAAATACTGCAACATTCCGTTAGTGGCGTCAGCTTGTCTCAGTGAATCGTAAATATTACGCTATCGAAATAAACAACAGGAGTGCTCGATTCACCTTAAAACATATTCGAGAGAAATGTTCCGCGTAACGGTGACTCTCGTGAAACATTTCCAAATGTTGCAAATGCGCGACAAAAGGTTAGAAAACGATTCGACAATCGATCGGTATAATTGTTAGACAAAATCAATGTAACCAATTTATTGTACGAAGATTGAACAAAATCGCAAAATTTTTATGTTTTAATAACGCGATCGAGGCAATATTGACGAGCGACGTGATGAAAGAAGGAATTAATTAAGCTTTGTGCTGTATCACACGTGATGTGTACAATTTCCAATATTCTCTATTATTATACCATATTATTATGCAATATCTCTCTCTCTCTCTCTCTCTCTCTCTCTCTCTCTCTCTCCATGAGATTGATTTCGTCCGAGTACTCTCTTTCGCTTCGTAATATTATGCAAGATATGAAAAAACCACGAGGAATAAGCAGCAAGTTAAAATTATCACGCGACCCGGGCGATCGATTAATAATAACCTTGCTTATTAGGCTCGAGCGTAATTAACACGGGAGCAATTGGCAATATCGCGCGAAAGTCAATCGGGAATCATACTACACGTAAGACACTCACGTGTCTTACGTGAGTCTCGATATTATCCGATATATTATCGAAGACGACGGCTCAATTTCAATCACACTATAACCTATGCACGATAAATAAGGTAACGAGAAGTTTTCGCGTTAATTGTCGATTCACCTCGACACGCGACGTGACGTCTCACCTTACGTATCGACGAGAGCCTCTTCGTAATTAGCGTGATACGTCCCCTTCGGGACGCCTCGACGAAGAATCGAGTCGTGTCGGCGATCGAGGATGCAATGAATTTCAATAAATGGCCGTTATGCCTACGGCGTCCTTTTTCGAATTCACAAATATCGGCCGAAATTTGGCGCCGCGCGAACTTGAGCACTTTGGAGCAAAAACACTGTGAGAATCATCTCTCTCTCTCTCTCTGCCTGCTTCTCGACCTTGTTCAAGATCAATCTACCTGCCGTGCGCGGGTATCAACACACTCCCGGGAATATTCCGGGCGAGGGCAGGAAGACGCGAAATTAACATACATACGCAAGACTGCTTACCGCCATTGAGAAGATCTTCCCCCCTCGTATCTGCGATCTCGATGATCCCCACCGATTCTGCTGGCTGCTCGTCGGTGGCCGGGCTCGAGTCGAATTTACATCCCCCGGAGAGCGTTGTGGAAACCGGGCGGGGAAAAAGCAGGAAGGAGAAAAAGTCCGGGCGACCTTGAATCCTTGAGATTAATCGTCACGATGTGGTCTCGCGCACGAGAACCGATTTTACGCAGTCGCGTTTTCCGCGCGTAATGGTCGCGCGTTCTACGGCGCGAATGGGACTGAAGTGAGCGGCGAGTTTTGCTCGCGAGCTCCTCTCACGGCTGTTCGTTCTCTTCGGCGACGACGATGACGACGACACAGGTGGTTGTGCTCGGGGCTACCCGCTTTCTCGCGACGGAGAGGCTAACACGAAAGAAGAAAGGGGTAAAAGAGAGAGAGGGGGAGAGAGGAGAGAGAGAGGGGGGAAAGGGGAATAGGAAAAAAGACAAGTGTGCGCGTCGCGACAAAGCCGCGCGGGAAAAATTGCGTGACCGAGGTGAGTTTTTCATGCGCGCTCGAAACGACGATTCCTCCCGATGACGTATGACAGCTCGATCGACTGGCCGGGGCGAGAGCCGTCGCGCGACTGAAACACCTCTTTGCTCTCTCGCAGCATCCCGCCCNNNNCGCCCGCCCACACAGTACATCCGCACCCTCTGTCGATTCCCCGCGCGAGACTCTTTCTCAGCCCCTTCCTCCATTCCCCCACACTTCCGCCACCCTCTTCCCTCTCTTGTCTCTATCGCTCCGCACCACCGCCATATCACCTTCTCTCGCGCAGCATGCTGCTATGTCCTGTGTTTCGATGAATTGGCTACTCGCAATTACAGATTTTAAAATATTCCGCTTATACGGAATACAAGTTGCTTTCGACATATTCAGCGTTTCAATGATGATCATCGTCAGACGCTCCACTGTCACCGATATCGTCTATATGGGTGTCGATACCCGGAAGCCGATAACGAGCAGAAGACGCGCGAAAATTCCGCACAAAGCATCTCAGAATAATCTCTCGCAACCGATATTTTAGAACGCTGCATCCTCTTATAATACGACGCGTCAATTATTTATATCAATTTTCTTTACCACACGGAAATCCACTCTTCTCGATTATCTCGGGCTATATTACGACACAACGTGACGCAACGTCTTCTTTTCCAGACGCCGACGCTGCTGCTATAATTCTTACAAATGTTACTCAATGTCTAAGATTATTATAATTAACACTCGATAATTATCAGCACTTTCCAAGAGACAATACAAAATTCGTAAGCGTATTGTGTGATATCGCTTGATACATTCCGGCGAAACATATTCGCGTGTAAGAGAGGGAAATTGGATTTGCGCGGATAAATCGCGGAGCAAGTTGGAAAACTCGTGTCTCGGAGCGAGTATAGCGATTAGGTGTAACGCTAACTACTCCCTGACGTACAACGAGAGAGTTGGACCAGATTGTAGCAACAGTAGGAATTAGTTAAACCCGGGCTTGATGATTTGCCATCCCTTTCTAAGCTATGATCCTACTTATGACGTGGACAGAAAAGTAAAATTGGATTAGGTTTGCTACGACGTTAGTTGAACCGGCGAGCAAGACGAAACGTGAGAGGAAGCGGGTCAGTCGACACGACTCTTTAATCTCGAGCTGGTCTATCGCGCGCGATCCCATTCACCCATGATGTACCATCGGTCTCCTTCTGATTATGATTAGAGATTACTTCGCCGATTTATGCAAACTACTTTCACTCCGGGATGGAGTTCAAAGATGGACTCGGCGAGCAGAATTTTATCCAAGACACGGAATTTTCAATGATTCCTCCGCTCTCGATTACGATTAAGAAGGTTCATTATGAAACTAGCTTAATACACGTTTTTTCGCNCGATGTCTTCCCCCCCCCCCCCATTCGGCTTCTACTTTCCTCTTACCACTCGCGAGGACCCGAGGAGAGACGCGAGTGTACCTTCTTGCGGGTACTTCGGGATGTCAATCCACCTGCCGATTTCTATTCCGCGATAAACTCACGCGGATCTATCTGCAAATATCAATTCCGATACCGATATTGCGTTAAAGGTACCGACGTCATTCTGTCAGACGGAAGACTTCTGCGAAAGTAGAAAGATATTTTAAATGTGTCAAGTATGTACTCTTGACGCGCGCGGCAGAGAAGCTTTCTTTTTCTCAACTTTTTCTCTCGCTTGTTCGCGCAAAATGCTACAAATTAAATAATTGAAATCGGCAAATGGAAGCGCCCGACGTATTTGCTTGTATCTACCCGTTTATCTCTTTTTAACGGCTTCCTGACCGGCGTTTACCGATGTGCCGATAACAAACTGTTGCACTTGCCGACACTCTGGCCGCTATCACCTGCGAACTTCTCGCTACGTGACTAACCCCGTTCCGTCGACGAAAGTATTTACGTATCCGTGCTCGTAAAACAAAAGAACTTTTTCGCCGAGCGCTTTCGCACCACCACCATCCTACATCTCGTTTTCACCTCGATCGTGCCGAAAGGGACGGATCGATTCCGCAAACCGCGAATAATGCCGCCCCTTTTTCTTGGGTCTCGCGAGAGGCATTGTTGTTCGATTATCGCGGATAACGCGTTCGACGTGATTTCGCCGCATTGTTCCGCGACGAGTAGATGCCAATCTGTCGCGCGCGCGCGCAAATATCGTTACGTGTCATTCTCGGCGAGAAATGATTTCTCGATGCGAGCCTCGGAGGGAAAATCGAGGCATTTAACGATGACTCGATCACGTCCCGCTGATAAAGTTCGAGTTTCCTCCAAGCCTTGGATTTTCCGAGAAAGCGGCACAAGGAGGCAGTCTGAATATTTCCGGTCACACTTTTCTCGGGCGCGCGTACTTCGCACTCTACGTTCACAACGTGTCGACAAACTATTTTGATGGCGGGACGCGAGATATGAGGTAAAGTCGTTCCCACCGGGTGTATAGAATTTTAATTTTCAATACGGGCTTTTTCAGATACACAGCACGTTCACGTACAGGCGAGAGACTTTATCACGAAGCAGGGTGTTGAACACGTTTATCTCTCGTGGAATTTCTGTTTTTTTCTCGCAGATTTATAAACGCGACGCGAGTCCCACTTTTTCCGCCCGGCTGCAAATCGCGAGATGTCACTGAATGATGTCATAAATTGCCGATTTCACTTTCGGCGAAATAGCGCGAACGGTAGGACGTCGCGGCTGCGTACTCATGTATTCGGGTCGTCAAGTTTCAAAGTAATCACGATTATACCAGCCGCTAAAACGCTTCCCCGACGCTTTTTGCGCAATTTGCCGCAGCTATCTCTACTCAAGGAGGAGACGGGAAGGGAAGGGGTCGCACAATCGAGCGATTGAGATCCAACGGTGGTGGTTCGCCGCCTGTGACATAATTTTCTTTGCAACCGACGGCGACGGGGCCAAAAGACATTCATCTTGCCGCTTGTGTGATGTCGTTACGTCATATTGCGGGGAAGAACTTACCACGATCAATAGGCACTCCTGTATACGGCGCTGGAAAATTAAGCCGGCCTCAAAGTTTTGCATTATGGAAAGTTCCTCTTATCAGCCGAACGGACCGGAGCCCTTTTGTGAGAACCGCTCGTTGAGGGACGAGCGAGACGTTATTACGCTCTCTCGCCTTCTCTCTTCTGGCTTGCCTAGATAAATATTCCGGTGTACATTATTGGGGGGGTCGGCGGAGCCGAGAGCTTCTCTCGGAGAGAGAGATTGAAGGTGAAAATTTACATCCTCACCGTCTCTACGATGCACTCGAGATCCTCCGAGGCAGTTTTTCAACCTAAGAAATTTAGCACGGGCGCGGGAGCGTATCCTTCTTAAAGGTCGTCTATCTTCAAGAGTGAGGTGAAAATAAAAACAATGTTAAGATGCTATCGTACGTTTAGCTAGCGTAAACATTCATTTATTTGGATTTTTCGACTTTGACTGAGAGTACCAAGTAATTCATTTGATCACCAAGTTATTCAAGTTATATTATTGTGAAATATTCACCGACAGATTCAAATTAATTCTGTTGTGCGAAGGAAAAGTTAATCTCTCTTTTTCGCTTCTTCGGGAATGCAGTCAAAATATGTCCATAACTGTTCTAGTCATTCAATATTCATTTATTCTCAATTAATACTGGCATGCATACCTATATATGTATAAATGCGCAGTATCCTCTACACCATTTGTCTTTGAGAAGAGTAACACACTACACTTGATCGTAATCATATTAATACAAACAATATATATATATATATATATATATTTATACGTATACACTTAAGACTGACTTTACAAAAAATGGTACATTCTACAATCATAATCGAGGAAACAATATCGACGCGTTGACATTACACGGTCGTGTGTTGCGCCCGCTTAATTGTGCATATTGTACTATAAACGCGTTTGGAAGTCCCAAAGAAAAAAGTATGTACCTCCGACGTACTATGAGAACAACTAATGCGCTACACGCAATTAAAATTATTTCTTTTTACCGCAATCTCTAATCTGTTCTGAAAAACACCAAGTGTAATATCATGCTATCAAATATAGAGATGACAACTATATTATATCATATTGATGCACGATATACGATAAACTTTTCAATCGGCCAATGGTAAAACTAAAATGAAATATAGTGTGGTTACCATTCAAATTTCTCTCCCTCACTTCCGAATTTCAAATCCAATGTCGAGTTTTCATTTGACATAACTATTTAATCATACATTTCTTTCTACAGTTACGGAACAACGTTTCCGGTAGAACTCAGTCTTCCAGTTTAGCGAGATATATATCTCATTTTTCTATCTAAATCGCGCAACGGTTTTCCCCCCATTTTCTCACTACACCGTACAGCTGTAAAATCACATGTAAATCTACTTTATAGACAGTATTACAATTTATCGCAGCTAAAAAGTACCGTTTATGGGCGGACATATGAGAGTAAAAGTGCTTACAAATCTTCATAATTTCAGAAAAATACACATCGATTAATGACACTCGGTTAATGACTCGGTCCACTCAGTTGTCACGGCTTCCGTAGTAAACGTTTAACTGAAATCCGTGTGGTTCGACAGGTACGATTTCTGGTCTCTCGTTAGGCTCTATCGGAAAGGAGGAAACACATATTGGGCACATGTACTTTCAACGCAGACGATTAAGAGTCGAACTCGTATATTTGGTAAGATGCCCAACCAAGTTTCTGAATACACCTGCAACATAATAATACAGCGCTCATAATCAAAGATTCAAACAGGGATATTGGAAAGGAAAACTATCAACAGATCGAAGCATACTTTTTCGCAGAGAGCATAAACCCTTTTGGTCCGCAAATGAATATACACCCCTCTAACGAGTACTCGCCAATCAATTCTCTTAACAATACATCGGACACGACGCCGCGTCTACCTTCCCATTTATCGCCCGCTTGTGACAGGATATGTGTAATTTTGAACCTAACAAATACTTGAAAGATTATCCTATATCCAGTTTAATTATATTTTTTTTTATTATTTTTTTCTTTCAAGGAACACATCAACTTCTATTTTGCGCGCACACTTACTTCTTCTCCATAGACACTTTGTCGAGCTGCGACACGTAAAACATATTGTCCTCGTCCTTATTGAAGTTTAAGAGATTGATTAGTGCCCTGGAAAAGAAAATCAATTCGATTAATCAAACAAGAACGCGACTACGGTTTACAATTGCAAGTACATAAATTTAAGACTCGGAAATGTTTACACTCACACACTGCGTCTGGCTAGCGCCCGCTGAATAATTCCTAACATTGCGGTTAAACCTGTTCCACCTGCCAACATGTGGATGACAGGATACCGATCGAATAATTCGATCACAAAGGCACCTAAACCATTGCTCATAATAAGGGTTTGGCCAGGTTGTAACGCGGTGATGGACGGACTGAGAGCGCCATTCGGATATCGCTTTACCATCAAGCAAACACAATCCGGCTGGTAATTTGGCGCCATATCTTCGGGATGAAGGCACGGTGGGACAGGCGTATACGATCTCGACACTTCCATTCCTACGGCAAGTATGTCAGTTGTCTGTTGTAAGACATTTCCCAGCGTCAACATATTTTTGACGGATTAAACTTTCACGTACAGCAACTTTATAGCCGAAGATTAGTTAAATATTAGCTTTTTCTAACGTCGATAAGTAATTAAGCAAAAGAAAATGTCTATATTAATATTTACCCATAATATTCATTTTAACTTCTATATGTCTACCGATAGGAATTAATTCTAGAGAGTCTTTCGCACGCAAGATTAATAGATTAACTAGTTTGCAAATGGGTGTATTATTGAGTACTTCGTACTCTTTGTACGTGCGTTTGTTCGCAACTGATCCTCTCGATAACGTATTCTCCCGTAACTCTCCCTGAGATTTCCAAATATCTTTGGTCCTCTTTGTAAACGTAAAGTCTACCTGCAACATTTAAATTGAAACATTATAAAAGTAAATTGAATATAACATTTCTGGAACAGACGCGAAACACGCGCACCAGAAATAAATATATTGATCGTTTTCCGGTCCGTTTGATAATTTACCTGCATCGTGTCGAAATTTCTCTTACACGTTGGAGGCCATTCCACATCTGCGATCAATTCGAGCTCGTGAGTGACTATGTGCTTTTCAAAAGTCAGCCTGAAAATGAACTTTGAGTCACTCAACCGTTGCAGTTGGTAATATATTCCCGGATAGTTGCGTATGGCTTGATAAAAAAGCGTGATAGAGTTGGAAGTTTGTCGCCAGTCCAAATTTACATTCGGCAAATCCGAGTTCTTTTCGACTACTTTTGGTACTGAAACAACGAAAGTTTCACCTAAGTATCGTTATGTTAATGTTACACGCATACTTTTGGAAATATAATCAAGTTTCAATATTCGCCATATCGTCAGCGATAAAAGTTAATCGGTTTTCGAACACTTGCGCACCTTTACATCGACTACTGTAATGCAATACTATTTATGATTCGTTAATTCAACGACGCTTCTCTAAATATAGATGACCTAGAACACAATACGGCGCAGTAGTTGCAACGCGGATACTCACCGGCGAAACTTTTGCTAAAACCCAACGTCACGGACGAACAATTGTTCGCACCCGCAGCCGACTTTTCCGTCACGGGAGCAGCACTCGACGCGGACGAGGAGCCGCGACTCAGCTTGCCTACGACGCATTTTTGCAGAATGCTCTGATAATTTACCCAAGCGTGCACCTGCAATTAACGATCTACAAATACATGAGAATAATCACCGCTTAGCGTGGTGACGTAGTGTGACACAAGTGCGTTATTCGGAGCGCAGCATTTTACGTTTTCGAATAATTTCGTGGCATCTTTCCCGACACCCCTCATCAGTTCGTCGACCCCACCCGGATGGAAGTCCATGTAACGCGTGACGTTGAATACGATCCCTGTGAGATAGAAACCAAATGTGAGGTAATAATTAGGCGATTTAATATTCCGACTTGTTAATGACGTTGATGCCACTGTCTCGGCCGCACAGCACGAAGCGCATAAGTAAACGAACCTCGAATTGCGATCCAAGCGTCAGTTTGCTTGTTATGATTAGCGAGCTCGGATAATGTTACGACTCGTGGTATGCCACCAACTCCGGTTAAATCGACCCCTGAATTACCCAGACGGATCCAGTCCATCAAACTATGCCCCGGAGCTAAGGCTGTCTTGTTTCGCGGGTTACCTGCAACAAGAAACAGGAGTAAATGTTTGTCACTGCTATTCTACATAAAATGATTATGTAAAATTTTTTATCACGTTGAATTTAACAGACATTTTTCAAATTCATCATAATTATTATCACAAATGACTCGAGTTCAATTTTTGTTTCAATCTGTAACGGATATTATAAATTATAATGAATTACAACGTTTCCTCGCGTTTTAATTATATCTCGTTATTTTTTCGACGAGTTTCCATATTTTACGGAGCACTTTATAAATAGCTCGGTGTTACTTTGCCTCCTATTAGTATTAGAAAAATTGTCTCCTCTAATCCAACGCTTAAACTACCTTCTACGCATCACCGTACAAATTGAGAGCATAAAGGCAACGTTTATCTGCAACGACGGACACATGCGCGTGCACGTAAACGCGATAATAAAAATGGATTAATTGGCAATTACATTAATTACTAACCGTCCTGGATCTGCAAACCAAGACTCTGCGGAGACCCGTTGCCGTCCGCGGCGGAAATTAAAGGAGCGCCGCAGCATCGCGGCATTTTCTCATCGACACGACGGAATTCGCAGAGACGCGATCATTCTCGCAGCTGCTCCGTGAAAGACGAGATCGATAAGAGTTCTCGAAATATATAAAATTCTTGAGAAGTCCTTTGAATATACCCTCGGTAATTAATTTTTCCGAATAAATCCAACACGAAACGACACGAAGAGGCAAGAAACAGCAAACGAAAAAGTCTATGCTTGAAAACTTATAATTTGGGATGTAATTAATATTTCTAATTATGTCGAATGTTGAAGGTATAATAATGATATAGGCAATATCGATAATGTAGGTCATACGTGTGTGCACATTCGGTATATCATATATATTATTATATGCACACATTGGACCCCAAGTATAACAATGACCATCATGTAGCAATTAAGGCCAATTAATCGGCCGACGTACGTATAATTATAAAACGATGAGCCAAATCGGAAACGGAACGCAAATGTACGACCTGTACAAATGTAGCTTTAATCAGTTCCCCGCAATTTGTAAATATCGTTCATTATTGTCGTAAAATTTTTATCCAACATCTAACATATCAACAATCTGATGTCTGCCTCTGGTGATGAAATATCTGGAATATCCGATGGTCTTGTTTATTTCTTTAATAATCTCTAAACAAAGTTCACGTTGGAGGAATTTTAATTTCGTCTCAGATATTTTAAAACTTTAGGCAATTATGGTTGAAGATATAACGTCTTATTAACCTGGGAGTAGTCACCTTATTTTTTTTTATTTAAACAATCACCTGGGGTCATTTAGACGCCGATTACAAACCGTTATTATTAACAAAATATAGTATATTATCGATACCCTACGATTGCTCTATGATTTATTATTATTTAGGGATATTGTAAATATAGATTTACTTGCTACTTTTTGAAAAAATTAGGAAAAACCCAAAAAATATTTAAGAACTGAAATAAACGCATTAAATGTCTTATTATGACAGTATTTCAAACGAATAAAGATTTTTGTTTAAAAAACATTGTTTTATTGCATATTTTTGATAAGATAGCATATTTAAAAGTTCGTAAAGAATAATTGTTAAAAAAGATAGGGAATATATTAAATAACATTCATCTTATAAGAATATAAAGCTAAATTGCGGTCATAGCGAAATTATTAACCCTCGAGGGCTCCGGAGCGGAGCCATTTAAAATTTGTCTTCAAACTTAAAACAAACTATTAACAACTATTAAAAAATTAACAAAATTAAAAAAACAATAACATACAACAATGACTTTTCTTTTAATGCGCATATCATTTACTTATATGTGAATATGATCTTTCCACTGAAATTGCTTCGAGTTGCTAGTAATATGAATGAAAAAAAACTTCGAGTGCAAAGGGTTAATATTGATTCAGGAATGTAAAAAATTATTTATTTTCATATTTCTTTATCGTATTATATAAATGTATAACATGAACAATATTTTTAAAAAAATTATAAATTTTTAAGGATATAAATATTTTTTATGTTTAATATGAAATAAAAATTGTAGTTTAAAATATTAATTTCATTTATAATAAATGTTAATGTTAATTATATATGTTAATTATAAACAATAAATATAAATATTAGACACTTAATAATTGCACTTTCGTCTATTTTTTAAATATTTTTATCGGTCAATATTAGATGTAACGTAAATATTGTTTAATTTTTACTGGATATGGGTACACATAACTTCATTTAAACTTATCTTGTATTCATAATACGAACTCTTACTATATTTGGCTAATTTTGTTACGTGAACGATCATCTGGAATCGTTTTGTACGCCAACGAGTTTTTGCACGCAGCTTTTATTATGAATAAGACGGGTCACTGCCAATTTTTGTTGCACAGATTAGGTTTCTAAATGTACAAAGGAAAAATAGGTACTGGTTCCCGATCAGTAAAAAAGATCCACTGCGACGTGAGCTTCATTTTCTGACCAGTGGGGTCTAAAAAGACTACGCAGGTGACTATTCCCGAGTTAAACGTAACTCAATTGGCTAAAACTAACGAGGAGAAGCAGTCGTGAAATTAACTCGCTCCGCCGTCTTAACAACTAGCTACTCGAGTTGAATAGTTCCGTCTCGACGTATACTGTTCGGCTCGGGTCACAATCGATCCGTCGTTCCGATAACAAGGATACGAGGAAAACCGTTAATTATGCACGAATCGACGCGTGATGAGTCGGTCTGACTAACAACAACGTTCACCTGAAACGAGTGGGTACCCGAAAAAGAAGTGATTTGTGGCCTGCGTTATCTGAATAGATAACCGCGATATTTTTTTGATAGCGAGCAACGAACGCGATGCGATAATGCGATTATTTGAGCGAACGAAACGAGAGAGATCCCGTGATGATCTCGTGGTGAAGGACCGGAGGGTACTGCGCTGAAACACGCGGCCGAATATAACCCTGAGACAGGTAGATCAATATAGTAGCGATGGACGACGCTCAGCTCAACACGCAGGATCTCTCCAGTCGGAGCGCAGTTCTCCGCGTACAAAGATCGGCGGAAGAGAAGTTGGTTACGCGAAAGCTATTGATCATTCGGAAGGACGCATCAGGGCGTATTGTTTGGAGGAAGTAATAAGACTTGTGCTCGTCCGGTGCACTCGGGTCGTTAAGGGTGAAATGTACGTCGCCGAAAATGTTGACAGGAATCTAATCTCGTATCACATGTATCAGTTGTCGGACACGTAATCATTCGTCATATTGTGAGATTTTAGATAACGTGTCTTCCACGAAATCCTAAGAAGATATCGCATGTATGTTTCACACGTAACATTTTGTCACGTTTCGTATGAAAATTCTCCCATTTTTTATTAGAATCAGCTATACCGTCATTCTCCCCTTATTTTCAACTCACTCAGCGGCGGTTCTCTAGAAAACTGATCTTGAGAGAAGAATATTCATGAAAATCACATTCTTACCGGTAGCAGATGCAGACGATACTGTTTTGGTTTTGGTTTTCGCCTTTTGCTCGCTTGGTCCGATGACACCAGTAGGTAATATCAGGCTGTTCTTGGCCAATAGGCTAGTAGGCGAAGATGTTTTCACGTCCACTTTCTTCATCTTTTCCTGTATGTCGCCAGTATCGTAGAGATCCCTCTGACGATTTTCTTCTTCCCCATTCTGATCTCCCGGCCGAGTCTCCGAAGGATGTCTCTTCTTCATTTCCGCTTCCATCAGTGCCCTTCCGAATGTGAGAAGTCCGGAACAATAAAAGTGTTATGCTTCGTCAGATGCATCTCGTTAAAAATATCATGGGTTTACTTCATAGGCCTCTGTATGGAAGAGACAATTTATAAAGATAATTCTCCCTTAATCGTAGTTACAAGCATACAAATGAAATATTCGAGTGGAGAATATTCAAAGTGCGAAATGTGACGCGGCGTCAAGTTCGCTGGAATTTCATAAATTTCTCCGAATAAAAATATCGCGTTTTAAAATTAAACGCTTTTTAAAATTAAAAGCTCATCGAGATAAACGTCATAACAATTCGCGTATCATTACGCGCGATTACGAAGAAATCAGCCCGCCCACATCTGCATTACACGGTTCGCAAATTTAGAAAGCAAGACGCGCCAGCACACAACTCGCGCGCACGCGACTTCGCTCTCAATTACTTTCTCCATAAAGTTTCTCCCCGTGCGATTTTGTAATTGTCCCTCGGTAATCGCGACATAACGTATCTTGAATTCAACCATGTGCATCGACGTGCACACGGTAGATTTAGCCGGCGAGACAGTGGAAGATGGATCTTAATATTCATCCGAAATTTCAAACGTTGTTCTGAACGTTTTCTCTCAAAGAAAAAAGTCAATAATTTTTTTCACTGAGACAAATGGATATAAACATTTTTTTCCAACCCTAAAGATAAATTGAAGGTAAAATATATCCCGATATTTATTTTTCGTGCGTCGAAAATCTATCGGGTATAGTAAGCATATAAAGACCGAGAATTGCAATGATGCTCTCAATGTGTAAATTAAAAGCGTGCAAAAGAGTCGGTTAAGGGCGCCGAAAGACCACGACTCGACCCTGCCTATGTGCATTACGTATGAAAGAATCCGCAGCCGGCATCCTTGCCGGCACAAGAGGAGAGTAATGGCAACATAACAGCCACTGTTAAACACTTTTTGTCGAGTGGTCAAGTGACTGCGACGCAACATTCAGGATTGCCGCGTACGAGTCCGACGAGGAAAATACTCGAGTACGTGGTTCTCCCCAAACAGGTGCACGACTTTGGCGCATTTAAACGTAAGCTAAAATATTCGAGATACCTTACATTTCTCATTTGTGTTTTAATAAATAACTATATTTTAAAAAAGAAAAATCAAAAGAACCTTGGTACACTGAAAGGAAAATAAGGAAAATATAGTTATTTTCGGGGACAACAATATCCTTTTTTCACTTTAACCACAAAATAAAGAAAGAATATTGTTGTTTTCAAAAAAACTATATTTTTCTCTCAGTGTAGTACTGTGTTGAAAGAAAGATAATAGCGACCCTGACTCATTGTCGGTTAATATTTTGCCTGTCTGCGTATCGTTATTTTTGGGTCTCTAAAATCATCTTCAATCGTGAATCATCGTTTTACCTACAATATCAGATAATAACTGTTTATATTTGTTGAAAGAGAGCAATTGAGAAAGTGTATTTTAGATAAGTTCAACTCTAAAGTTAGCACATGCGACTATCTATAAAATGATTAAAGTGTTTTTGAAATATCTGATGGTAAGAGATAAGCGTGTACGTAGGCGCGAAAAAGTATATATTTTTGTTCATAAAATAGTCGTTTTATCGTCTTGTACGTGGACAAGTAAAATGTATCTAAATTTCTTCTTATTATACTATATAAGTATACTATATAAATATTATAATTAAATTATTTATTATTAAATTATAAGTATTATACTATATAAGTATACTACTATATAAATAATAATAAAATCGATATCCCACCACGATAAGTAACGAAACTGATATCTCGCGATTCATATTCGCATTAAAATGAACATTGAGCGCTTCGATGAGAGCTCTACAATCTTAAATCTCTAAAATCGTTATCTGTCGATAAGAATATGGCATGACACACCCGCCGTGTTGTCCGAAATCGATGTTACTTTTTACAATTGTCACTTTTAACGTGAATACCGATTCGTACCGCGAAAGCGAGAGTTCCGTCTATCGCATCGCGAGTGCGCAGTAGCGCAAGTTCTCCTCTTTCATTGTCGCAAGTAAATGCAAATAAGACTTTGAGAGCTATCATCGAGCTAACTTCAAGAACCTGACACATGGAAATTTTACTTGCATTGTTACTCGTATTTGACCTATGTGCATCGTGCGAACTGTCGTTCGAGTATTTTCTTAAACGGCAAAGTTAGGTTAGATTATTTGTCCAGCCGAACGACGATCCGTACAGATGTCAGCCGTCGAGGCAGTGGATAGCAATTACGCTCGAATTGCGAGAACACGTGCTGAATGCAGTACCGAACACACTCAGCGAACACACGCGTGCGCCTCACCGGGAAAGTCAAGCAGCCTCAAAATGCTCGAAAAAAACACCCAGAACCAACGATTCGTTTCGCCCACGTTTCTCGGAGCAGACAGATAGGGTTAGGTTAAGTCAGTCCGAACGCTCCATCGACTACTGCCTCGCAGCCAACTTCACGCAGCGACGTGCGACAAGGCCGTAACTTTACTCTCGCGCTACGTGTTTTAACCTTTTTTCTCTATCGTCCTCCTCAATGACACTATTTACCTTTTTATCTTTCCGAACGCGCTACGAGAACACCCACGGGAAATCCGATATGAGGATTAATCTATTCGTATATTTATCACAAAAGAATGTGATTATTGAGATACAATTGATTGATAACGTCCGAGTCGTCCGACAACAATAATCTGTCTATATTAAGATAGACGGTCTCTTACGTCGCGCCGAAAGTCCAAAGATTATCCTTAAGCATCACATAAACACCGGATTGAACAAAAAGCAATTAAACATTAAGAGCAATGGTGAACGCGTCAACACACGCGTTCGTCACTCGGAGCATCTTTGAGCCTGCGTTATGACGCCATGACAGATCCTCGTCTCTCTTTCATGTCGCCGAGATGGGAGAGGACCGACAGTTTTAGAATACGAAAGAGAGACGATTTCAAAAATATCTACCCCGCGTATGTAGGCGTCGAGATATTTCGTGCCGAAGGGCGCATGTCGCAGGGTGAGAAGCAAAACAATCGGGCGGGTCCAAGGTCGCTCCTGGAATCGCGTCGCCTCGATCGTGCGTCATGCCGTACCGACGGAGTTATCTTTATACGCAGGTCGGTCGGCGTCCGCGGCAGTTCAGAGCAGCACGGAACTGATCGAGGCGGACCTGAGTGAACTGTGCCGCTGTAGGAGTGGGTGGACTCAACCGTTTGTCGGCGAACTGCGCGTTGCGAAAAGCGAGACGGCAGTAATCGTCCGGTGCTCGAAAAATTCAGCGGCGGCCAGTAGTCTCGCCGGACGACACGCACGTAAAGTAACGGGACAGTGAAGGTAGAGGGGGTGATAAAGTATTGTACAATATAGACCTGTCGAAACGCTCGCCGATTTGAATCACTCGCTCCGCCGGTGATCTGTCGGCTCTCGCTGATTCATCCCGAATCCACAGGGAGTGGATCATCGTCGTCATCGTCATCATCGTCGCTTCCCTGTGACGTCGGCGAATCCACGTCTCCGTAAGTGTGTGTATGCTGTGTGTCTTATAGGTTACCTTGTACAACGGTGCACTTGATCGCCGCCCGGCTCCTTAGGCGTGACTTGATTCGCGAATGTGTCTGAGATATCTTCGAGACAATCGTACATTGGTATCTCGCGCCCCTAAAATATAATCACGTCTCGTGAAAATATGCGAGGTGGTCACGTAAGCAGCTTTGAAAAAAAGAAATTTATAATATCGGCGACAAGAGCGCGAAGGTGAACGCCTGGTTTCCGGTCACCGGTATTTCTTACATTGTCGGTGAGCGCGCGAGATAATTGCCGTGTGCGCGACGACTGACGAACGCGGGTACATGAATTCCTCAGGCAACCGGGACAGCTTGTTTCCGACAAGCGACCGTGCCGAATTTCGGCGATCCGTGGCCAGTGTTATTTCGTTATTTCCATAATCGGTCGCGCGGTCGTTCGCCAGCCTCGATATATTTCCGCGAACCGACAATATGCGATGAAAAAACAATTACGCCAACGGCAACTCATTATTTTGTATAATTTACGTTTTTATCATCCTTCGCACGTATATGATACATGTTTTCACACATGCTTCATTCGGTGTTCTCGTAATATTGCCGAATCATCCCATTGTGAACAGTTTCGATTAATTCGACTAATTAATTTCGTCTGATTATCGATTCACCATTCTCTTTTGTATCAAGTCTCATAGTCTCATAGGTGCAGCAAGAGCGAAGCCCGAGCAAAATGAATCATCGACGGCGGTCGTCGTTGCGCCCGGCCCTCAACGATCGGCCACGTCTCGATACGCTCAATTAATTTAATTTTCGTCAAGCGCCCCTCGATCTTTTTTTATTCTCGTGCCGAAGGAACAGCAGCCGCTGTATACGAGCTATTCTTGCGAAATCTTTGTTTTGCACGTTATGATATGAACCCTCGGCGCGAAATTAACATATATTAATTACGAGCCCGGTTTACTTTTCTTCTTCCGTTTGTATCTTGCAGAATCTATTATATTTTTAAATGGTGACGGATATGCGGGAAGCATGAATAATTCACGTGAATAATGTACGTTACTGGACAAAGCTTTTTGTCGTGCGGAGTAGCAAACCGACAATCGCAAATATGTTGAACTCTGTTTCCACGTTCCACATTTCATGGACGGTCACGAGAAAATCGCATGATTAGGTTTTTTTTTTTCGTTATGTGACGAGTGATCCGCTTATATAGCTCTTTCGCTGCGAAATTTATCACCACAAAACTTATCACTCGTATTTTATGTTATCAGGAAACCGAGTGCTGTATACCGGTGCGACTCATATTTACTAACGAGCACAGGATTATTCCGTATCCTTGGTATGTTGGACAAAGTTGTATTAGAAAGATTGTATTAGATAGTTGAGTCAGGCACTCGTTGCCTCATCGCTAGGATTTCAATCGTATTATAGTCGTTCTCGCGTGTAACCGCTATATATTTCTGCGTGGCAATAACCGTCTATGTTGAGCGATTGCCCCGAGTAACCTTGTACTTGCCAAGCGACACTTCGTGTCAAGCACTCTGACATTCGAAGTGTAGATGTGTGAATCAACTTGCGCGACAGTGTGCGCGATACGGAGCGCGTGTGCGCTTTGCAAACACACTTTACGTGACCAGTAAATCCAATCTGTCATTTAGTTTCTTCGGACATAAAAGGCTGCGTACCTTGAAGCATATATGGCTCGCCATTGCGAAACCGAACAGCGCGCTTGTCGGAATGAAAAATTTAAGTAAACTTTTTTGAGAAAACATTTGGATACCTTGGAAATGATGTCTAGTTGTGGTATCTTATAATCATCATTTAGGCAGAGGCAACTACTAAGAGAATTCTTTGAGGTATCTCATTTTGAGAGATTTCTTGAAAATGTTATCTTTATGGTATCACGCTAAATGATGTCAGTTTGATTTGTCATGAAAGGTATGAAAAATTATGTTGATTTCTGAGCCGTCTTTATGTTTTCTTTTAAAAGAGCTGTTTATGATATATATTATACCCGAAATATGGCATTCGTTAAAGCCCGTGGCTATATCAATAGGATTAGCAAAAAATCCATCTTAGCTAATTTCGCGTATCTAAATAATTTTTGCTATGACTGTAAAATCATTTTTTTGAATATATCATTTTTTAACCTGATGACTTAAAGAAATTTTTGAAAAATCTCATAAAGATGCAAGAGTGTTATCTAATGTAGTTTTTAGAGTGTTATTTAATGTAGTTTTTCATCAAAATTTTATTTTTAGTTTAAAAGATATTAAAAACAGAGATTAAAAATGACACGCTAATCTCAAGAAACGCATATAAAAAAAGTATCAAGTTTAATTACAAATATCTCAGCTCTCGAGTGATTAATATTTTTCTTGTTATAGCAGTTAGATAATATTTTTATATATACGTAATGCAAGTTTCATCAAGTTCTTATAAAACTCATTTCTCTTTAAAACATTGCCGTTAAAGCAGAATTCGATCTGATACTTATCAAATTTGTTTCGTCAAGCCGTTTTGCTTTTCAATTTTGCTCACTAACTCCGTGATGGAAGCGCACACGTTTGCTCCATTAGTTGTTCTATTCACAAAGCTGTTTAAACTCGAGCTTGTATTCTCTGCCAGCCTTGACACGTAATTCCACGATTACATCATTAGCAGTTGTCTGCTGTTATGATAAGTGCGTAAATGTGTACCAGTCTGGAATTCTTGCCTTACACAAGCACCGGCTGAGAATAAGACGCGATTGCTATGCAATGAAATTCGCGTCTCGTCACTTACCTGTTATGTATTTTTATTCACTCTCCGGTTAAATTATCGTCACAAAAAGCGATTATGGTAATAATGTAATGATAATGTAATTGATGATATATAGCGTCATTTCTCTCGCGGAATCGCGTTTAACATAATTTTTGCTATGACTGTTTAACATACATTTGAAATAATAAATTTCGTACTTCGACTTGAAATTTCATTTCTCTCCTGTAAACTCGTGTAACTTATGTGTATAGTTTTAAAGAAAGTAAATCTCAAGCTTTACATTTTTTTTTTCTTTTCTTAATCGTCTCTCTACTTGTCTCGCTTACAACGACGAGCGGAGAGGTAGAAAATTATTCTTTATCTTAATGTGTAGCCACGACTCTTTCTCGCATTCTACTTTGTTTATCTTTCATTACGGCAATATTGATAATTTTGTCGCTGTACTCGAACATAACGCGTTCGGCAATGTGTTTGCTAAGTGATGTAATAATGCAAAAGCGATATTACATTATTTATGCGAGAAAGCCGTGACACGATAGATTTTTACATCATAAGCGATAAGTTATCGGACATGCTCGCTCATACGGACATATGAGATCTCCATAGCTATAATGAAACAATACAACACGACGGTCATTCCTCGTATATACGAACGAGCGATTAATCGTCCCCGTGTCCGTCACGGCAAACGAACCCCGGTAACGTGTACTTGTTGAATATCGCGCACAGTCGATTTCATTATAGAGTCGATGCTATAAAAATGCTCGCCTGGTTTTGCTCGATATTGCCAGTATACTTTTCGATACGCGCGCACATGTAATATTTATATTGTCAAACATAAATGTATCATAATCTTACACTTGTTATCATTGTGCGATAGGCAAATTATTTGCTCAATAATTAGTTTATATACAGCGGCGCTATTAATATTCAAATAGTTAAATTTAACAAAAATCATTTTTGTGCTGTTATATTATGCTTTAATTTAAGTTGTACCGATTTTTCGTCAACTTTAAGAAAGACATTTGCACGTATAAATATTGTATTAAAATACAAAAAACACGTATTCGTTTTTTCTCTTATTAGATATGTTTGACAAAGATATTCACTTTCTTGCAAATATATCTTTTGTGTGTGTGTGTTATTTATAATTAAGTATAAAATATGCTCGCGAAAAGCAAATATAATAAAGGCGGATTGATATTTTTCCCCGATAGGTATATGTCGACGAAGAAGGAAACACAGAACAAGATGCAAACTAAACAAATCTTGAGCGTGTTTCACCGCGTGATCGAGCTGATTGCGAGAGGAATATTCTTGTTCGTCGCCTATGTGAAAGGACCAGCGAAAATCCAACCGCCGATTAAAGACTTAACTTTGCTGCACAGCGCATCCGCTTTGGCGTTAAAAATTCGAAGTAAACAAGTAAGTCTCTTTGCCGGTACTTTCAATGTTTGGTAAGATATTTCAGCGATTTTTACTCGCGACCTGATACAATATAAGTTGTAAACTATCTAATCATCGATATTGTGATCCTTTTGATCTGATAATACAACGACGTCTCATTGTGTTTTGCACAATAATTCAGATTGCTTGGCATAACAGTATTGTGTGACGTTTATCTGAGAGATAACGAATCGAATTCTGCGAAAATCATGTTTTTCAATATTATCCTTTTTTTTTTTTTTCTTTTAATCAGTTATGCTTTCGAGAGATAAGATGCAAATCAGATCTGCATTGTTGTGGAAAGTAAATTTTTGTAATAACAAAACATTGTTATGTAAAATACACAAGCCTTATTTCATGTGTATACGTAATTGTCAATTAAGCCGGCCGTACAACTTGTTATTGTTCACAGTTAACTTCGGAAGATGTGGTATTTTCGTACATAGAAAGGATAAAGGAGATCCAACCGATGCTTAATTGCGTGGTCAAAGATCGTTTTGAAGAAGCTCTTAAAGACGCGAGGAAATGCGACGAACTGTTGAAATCTCAAGATGCTCCGTCAGCGGAATTTTTGGAGAGAGAGAAACCATTGTTTGGTGTACCTTTTACGACCAAGGTAATACTTATATTTTTATTATATATATGTTTCTTACTAACCTGGCTCAAATTTCATTTGATTTTATCGTTGATAATAAATTAGACAATTGTATTCCGAGCTTTTTCTTGTCTACTTAACGAAATTACACGATTATAACACTTCTTCTTCAGCTGTTACGAGAATAAAACCGCGAAAAGAAACAGATGGTTAATTAATCACATTGCAGGACTGTATCGCCGTCGCAAACATGTGTCAAACGGCTGGTCTCGTTGCACGCAAAAACATCACCGTCGACAGAGATGCAAAAGCAATTGAATTAATGAGGTCAGCCGGAGCCATTCCTCTGGCATTGACAAATGTTTCAGAATTGGCGATGTGGTGGGAGAGCAGCAATTGCCTGTTCGGCACCACTAAGAATCCCTACAACACCAGGTATAACATATTACATCATCGCTACGTTACATCATGACGTACTCAAGAAAGGAACGTATTATTTATCAAGGATTCTCAATTGTCGAGAAAGACTACGCTCAAATCAAATCAATGCTGTCGTTCCAAGTTGAGAACCTAAGAACCAATTATTGAACAATAATGTTGTTTCTCTCGTTTTCTATTTTATCGAAATCCGTTTTAAGGTGTATCGTGGGTGGTTCCTCGGGCGGCGAAGGTTGCATACAAGCGGCTGCTGGATCTCCGCTTGGAATTGGCTCGGATATTGGTGGCTCTATTCGTATGCCGGCGTTCTTCAACGGCATATTTGGCCACAAGCCATCCAAAGGTGAGAAAGATTGAAAGCTTGGCTCGCGCGTATATGTTTTCCCATTACTCGACGCGTTGCGGAAATTGTTATGTTATTTTATTTGTGTATTATAGGAGTGGTCTCCAACGATGGTCAATATCCCAGTGCACACAGCGACGACCAAGATCAGTTACTCGCCATTGGACCAATGTGTAGATACGCGCATGATGTGACGTTGACCTTGAAAATTCTCGCAGATAAGAAAGCCGATCTACTGAAGCTGGATGAAAAAGTAGACATTTCGCGAATTAAGGCAAGTCGTGGTGTGATGTAATCCTGCAATTGGTGGTTTCATTTTACTCTTACGTTGTTCGCGCCGCCCGCGCACTGTCGTGCTTTCCCGACGACGGAGAGCAAGATTAATAATAATTGTATCGTTTGAAATTTAGATTTATTACATGGAGGACGACGGTGGTCAGCGACTAATCTCACCCGTTGACCCTGAAATAAAGGCTACTATGAAAAAAGTGTTGAACTATTTCGAGAAAGCGCATAATATTAAAGCCACTAAAATAAATGTCAAAAAGTTAAGAAAAGGCTTGGCCCTTTGGTTGGCGAATATGACGTGCAAGGACGACAAGGACTTTTCGTACGAGTTAACCAACAGGCAAGGTCACATTAACATCGGGTTAGAATTCATCAAATGGGTGCTCTTTATGAGCAATCACACTCTAGTCGCACTTTTCACTGCCATGTTTGAAAAATGTGGCATGAAGTACGGGAGTGAGGAACACGTGAAGCTCATGCAAGAGAGCAAGGATCTCTCTCAGGAATTTAAAGTAAGAATTGTCCGACTAATTTGAGTGTCGTATTGTTATTTCAAGACATCATGTCATTGCTCACTTTATATATTTTGTTTCTCGCATCTCTCTTTAGGATATTCTCGGAGAAGACGGTGTCTTTTTATATCCGACGCACCCGACCGCAGCACCAATGCACCACGAACCGTTGGTCAAGCCATTCAATTTCTCCTATACTGCGATCATTAACGTATTAGGCCTACCGGCTACGGCTTGTCCGTTAGGTTTAAACAAGCAAGGGCTTCCCATTGGCATCCAGGTGCGCGCTATATATTTTTGTAATTGGATTAATGGCGCCAACTTGTACCAACAATATGTTCTCGCGCAGGTCGTAGGGGGACTTTATCAAGATCATCTGACGCTCGCCATTGCCGAAGAATTGGAACGAGGTTTCGGTGGCTGGGTACCGCCGGCAATAGTAGCTTAACGACAGTACCATCATAGACAATAATTCAATGAATGACGTTTGCATTAAGCCTCATCTTACCGAACCCTGCCAACTCTCACGTGAAATATTATACCGAAGTTTGTATCGAAGAGGTTTTTCCACACAAATGCGGGTGCTACCGAGGTAAAGTACAAACTCATATATATGGAGATGCGTAACATGCATTTAATACGAAATATATAATTTCTTACAATACTTGATATATTCCGTAACTCTCATAATACGTTTACGGTTATTACTGCATTTACGGAGGCCCGAGGAAATAATTGTATAGAATATCAAGATGTGTCTCTTCTTAATCGTGTGAGTGTATTTGTTTATTAAGAACCCTTGAAATCGCGAGCGATGTTAACAAGCATTACTGCATTGCTAATGTGATTGTGATCTGTACTAGTATTGGAAAACAGTGTGATTCAATATAAAATGCTAATTTCAGCATGTACTTGTATTCTTATATATAAAAAAAAAAAAGGATAAATTCATCCTCGAAACAAGAAATTAAATGTGTGTGAGAGGATATTTGTATATAAATATACTCTTTCTCCAGTTATGTGTTGAATCGCAATATTTATATATATATATCACACAGCATCTATATATATAGAGGGAGAGAGAGAGTTTTCTATTTTCATACGTAACATATATGTGAAATCATACACAAATGGTAGCAGGGTGCTTTTGGTAATATGATAAGACATTTGATGTTATTTAAAACATGTATTGATGTTGAGAATTTATATATATATACACATATATTTTATGTACCGAAATAAATTTTTATTATATTATCTCGCCATATACTTGTATCCTTCTCGCAGTCGTTGTTCGTTTTTTCAATATTACCATGTTGAACAGCGCAAGTCACTTTGTTGATATGAATATCTTTGCGCAAACCGAAACACTTCTAAAAGCTAATCTAAAATCTGTGGAACCGTTCGACATGTAAACATGTAAAAGAGTATGTGCAAATATGCGAAAAAGTCGAGGCACGACCTTATCTGAAGAATAAATTTCGATATTTGTCTGAGATGTAACACTCCTATCTATATATAATTAAGAAAATACTAAGAAAATTATATACTTTAATCCGCAAATATACGTTATTTCTAAAGCGTCTACCCAAGTCACTTGGAAAGCTATAAATAAATGTGTATTGGAAATATACTTATTTTTCGCAACTAACGCAAGTAACGAAGCGCAATTTCGATTCACTTGTGAATGACATGATGTACATGTTTGCAGTTCGTAGGAATTCTCACGAGAAAATTCCTTTGTTAAGACATCTGTGATGTCAAAATATATAGGAATAATTCTTAATCGAGACAGTAAGCAGACAGTCCTCGTCTATGTTGTAGCAGCTGTAATACCAATTAGTGTGAGCTGCCCTGGTGTGAATAGGAAAGCAGGTACCGCAGTTTCAGAAATCATCGTAATCATATTGTCAATACACCAAACGCGTGTAGCGAAAGGATTACGGGAGTATTACAAGCTAGAGATTTATCATAACATAACGCATAATAATTTTTCGTTTTTCTCTATCAGAACTCGAATGTCACACTTGATATTCTCGGAACATTTGTATAAATAAGTTGTATACCTAAGCCTAAGTGGAAATTGCGATCAGAGAGCGTCGCGTTAAATTACAGCCTAGAAAATAGTCTGTAGGAAAAGCTGTTACACCGATAATATTACGATATCTCAAAATACTATGCTCGCGTATCATCATCTCATCATAAAAGCTATCTTCAGCGCCAAGAGACCGATCCGGCGATACGACAAGCATTGCGGATCTACGGAGATCTGCGTTACGTTATGAGATTCGTCTCTTCCGACGGTGCGTCGGTGTTGCGTCCGGTAACGATTAGGGTCGCTTTGACCGATCTATTGTCCAACGAGCCGCCCTCGCTGGCTATTATTTCGAACTCGTTCGAGTTGATCTCGGATTCCGCGTCGAGAAACGCCGACTCATCCGTATCGCCGTGCCGAGCCGTCCGATCCTCGGAACGACGGCGGGTCTCGTTCTCGTTACCGACTCGCTCGGTGACGCGCACCAATCGATCCCTGACGCCGTCGTCCTCGTCGTTCTTCGTCGCTGGCTCCGTCGTCGCTTCTCCCTCGCTGTTCATCCGCCTGTTTATCACGTTCAGTTCCACGTCCGCTCGCGCGCTCGGCGGCCTGACGGTGAAATGCCTCGCGGCGGGGCTGCTGTTGAAGGCCGTTTTTGCAACGTCGTCTCGCAGCTTCGCCGAGATGTACGATCCGTCGCTCTTCTCACGGTTTCCGTTTGCGGTTTCCGACCCGTCCCCCCGAAGGTGCGCCGGTTCTTGCGTGTCCGCGTCGACGTGTTCTTTGCCCTTTTTGGCGACGGCGAGCTCGGCCTCTTTCATCGCCGAGTGGATGACCGGCTCGGCCCATAATCCCGGGTTGAAAGCTGGTCCCGTACCGCCGAGCTCCGCCGGCAGTATATCCGTGGGCAGGTGTTCGTGGAGCGTGCTGAGATTGTTGCCGTGCAGGTAAATCTGCAAGACGATCCGCGATAACGCTCTTCCCGCCACTTATCCGGCGCGCCACGGCAACGATGATCATTTATACCGCCGCGCTCGTCCATTCATAACGACTGCCAATTTCACTTTTTGCGACTATATACTCCGCTTGTGTATTTCTCAGGATTCAGGAGATTCGAGATTCCGAGTCGTCACGCATTATTCGGAATGTTCGACAGATGTCTCTCACCTTGTTTCGCGTTTTCTCATCCAGGAACGGCTTCACCAGGGCCAGAGTCGCCTGTACGTACAACGGCGCTGAAAGGAAGTGTATCGCTTTGAATCGAGCAGGAAATCGCCCACGTAGAGCGGCTATTAGGTTTCGCACGGCCGCTGCGCCCAGTGCACCGCCCTGCCGTAACGAGAATCCGCTCCAGTCCACCACAGCGACGAAACCGGATTGCTGGAAAAAAAAGAAGACCCAAGTCGTCCGTTAAACGTGTCCGGGCGGCGTGTGATAGTCCTGGGGCTCGGGAGTAGACACGATGTCTAGACCGTGCGCGGATTTAGTTGAATGAAATACGATGTTCAGGCTGCCTGTAATATTCGAGAATCGATCTGTCGGAGGCACGTTATTCCGTCGCTTTTACCTTTCGAAAAACTCGAGAAATTATATTTTCCAGTAAAGACGCGAATTTTTCTCACACTTCCCGTCCGCATAGCTTGACGATACGAAGGAAATGCGAAATCGTGTCAAGCGAAAAAGCGACGACAGCAGTGAACTGATAATTGTTCTATTCCAACAGATTATCTTCGCGCGGTAGCTCGAACGGTTATTAGATCAATGTTGCACCTGATTTCGGGGATCCTGAATAAGTATTTCCAGAACTAAGAAGATAGCTCGTTGAACGGATAATGCGGGCACGGCTATGGGATCCCATTGCGACGCTAAGATAACCAGCACGCATCTGCCTTTCCTGCATTCATTCGTAACACAAAATGAAAATGGATAGGTGTGAACAAATCGTAAGGTAGAATTTTTACAATAGTCCCGTTATAAGTAGAAGCGCCGTCTCTTTTGTACGCTGCGAGTCAATACACGAAACAATTAAAAAATATCGCCGAGAGAGAAACTTAACCCGCACGATTGTGTTCTCGCGCGAAAAGAAATCCCGCGTAATCAATCTCGCGTTCGGCTTTGTTAATCACGACTTGCTTTCCGCATCCTACGTTCGTGGCGATAACGGGCGAAAAGGATCAGAATAAATACTGCGGTCGCCACGGTACGTTGCTCCCTAACGTAACGTTAATCCGCGGACGCTTCCTTATTGTGGAGAGATTAATTAATTCGTATACCTGTCCCGGGCGGGTAGGACACCCGGGATGCCTGCGCGAAGTGCGCGTTGCAAGGCTGGGTCGCGGGCAGTGAGGTTGCCGAAGATGTCCTGACGGTGCGTGATTTGCGACTGATAAGCGACTATCAGGGCGGCCGCCTGCTCGGTGCGGTACTTCCGGGCCAGTAGGAAACGCGTGATATATTCATCCGTGCAATGCTTCAAGTCTAGGAACAGAACAACACCAGGGGGCGAGGGGGCGCCCGGTCATTGTAATGCCGTTCGCGAGAACTGTCGGACAGGAAGCAATTCGAACGCGGATATTCCGGGAAGCCGCGGAAGACGGCGTGTGTGGAACATTTTAATATCCGTACCGCCCCTGACCATTAATGCTCGGCTTTTTTTTCCATGTTCGCTTTTACGATTAAACGAAGGATCATAAACTTGCGATTCAGCGCCTCGTATCTTTTATATGACTGATAAAATTGCCGGATCTACTTTGTTACTTATTTTTGCTCTTTAAAATGATCTTCTCTTAATCCGACGTGTGCGGTTTCTTTTATCTTTCATTATATACGGAAAAATGGTTTCTTTGGATTTAGTATATCTGTTTATTTGACATGGCTTTATTTAATATAAACAACAGAATTTAATATTAAATAGTATGTTTTAAAGAAAATGTTTCAGAATAAACCATGTTGCTCGATAGAAAAAACAGTATTCTTTAGAGGAAATAATATTTGGTTCCAATAAAAGAAAAATTCGTTTCATTGTATATTAAATATTGTTCCACTGAAATAAAAAGAAGTTCTTTAATATTTTTAACATAGTGTTATTTCTTTTAAATAATCTATCACTTGTGACAACCATTATAATGTTTGGATGAAAAAATATGTGTTGCATTTGACGTAAAGACATTTATTATTAGAAAAACCAAACAATCCTGTTTGTTGAGTCAAATATTTGTTTCTTTCATCCCAGAAGACAATTTCCCAGATAGACATATATTGTTGTCTGCATCGTGACTGGCATAAGTACGTTAAGACGCGTCCTCGTACAAGTATATAAAAGAAAATTATCTGATTCAGTGAAAATTGCGGCGATATTCTAATAAATATCGTTGCTAGTTTGCCCGCAATTAATCCGGAATTATTGTAATAATAAGAAGTCGATGCTTTGATTAAAATTATGGCGTAATAAATAAGTATTCCTTAAAACAGGTATATTTTTAACGTGTTGTATGCTGTTGCAACGGCATCACAAAACATACATTAAATGTTTACATATTATGTTCAGCATTTCTATCTGGATTATTTCAATGAAAGAAACTCCATTCAATTCAAAGAAATCTTTTTTTTGTGTAGAATTATCGAGTTGAGTGACAAATTGTTTTGTGGAAGCTTTTGAGCGCGAGAAGAAATTAATACCTCACTTTGTTGAAATTATATTTATATTTCATCAAGCGGGGATTATTTTACACCGCTGAATTGCGCGGATCTCTCGCTAAACTGCAATATAAACACTTCGCTCTAGATATCGTCCAATTCGGCTTTTATGGACGAACACGTCCGCGTTAAATTGACTTGAATTACGCTCTACGTTGTACACGTGTCTATCTTACCCACATCCGGCATTTCCCGGAGTATAGCTCTGACGGTCTTAATGGCCAGTTTCTTGTCGCGCTTATCGAATCTGGCGTCCTCCTCGTAAATGCTGCGCGCCAGAGCGGTGCTGCCGTGACCTCGCGTGGGGTCCCACATGTACTCGCAATACTCGGCCATCTTTTTCTCTCTTCAGCTCCGTTGAACGCAGGTGTGCGGACCGACCGACGATCTGAAAGTGTGTACGCGAATAAGTAATAAAGTTAAACCGCGCGAGGAACGACCGATCGCGCGAGCGAGCGAGCGAGTGACACGAGTGTGCCCGAAACGTTCCGCGTTGCACGCAGATGCATCGCAGCGGAGCGTGAAACGCACACACACTGGTGTAAAGTACGTTTTCGATTCAGCTGATTTGCGAATCGGTCAAGGGTGCCGCTCTCGGCTTGAAAAAAGAGGCACGCGTAATCGCGCTGTTTATCGCCGCTGCTTGCCGTTGAAAATGACGAACCGAGCGAGCGATAACGCAGTTGCATTGAAAAGTAGTCACGAGTCGCGGGACGAGAAGAGCTGGTGGAACTGGAAAACGGATGCTCGAGTGTGATTTCGCGCGGATCGCGAAAAGATTCTCAGCGCATTGCCCTAAGAGTATGATTCATAGGTAACCGTCCTTGTATGTTAACGGCGAGGCGCGTCATGCGAGAGCTCTCTCGAGCCTGTTCGGCCAATTATTTCGCGAAAGCTACATGCGACCTTGCAACGAGCGAGTGATCGATTTACGATCTCCGGCTTTCCGAACGTGTAAGTCATCGACGGTAACTGAGCCAACTATTTTGAGAAAACGAGTTATCGAGCGATGATCGTAAATATCACGACGTTGCGTTCCCAAGTACCTCGTGAATACGTAAGTACACGCTGAAAACGTGCATTATCGCCGATTCGCTCTCCATGCCAATCGTGTCACGCTTATTTTTGTCCTAACAAGCTCTCTCTCTCTCTCTGTGCGAAACTGACAGCCGTTACATCAACAGGACGGCACGACGTCGGCAGGCGCCGGCGCGTAGGAGTGACGAAAAGTCGGTTGTGAAATCGCGAAGAGGAAAGAAGAGTTCGTGCCGGAAACTGCGTGAGAAGCGTCCTTTCCAAAGCAGACAAGGCGCGGTACACCATACTTACGGTGCACGCGGGGAGCCCCTTGGAAGGTCCCGTGGAGTTCTCGCGCGGTCCTCCTTCGAGATTGCCGACCCGACCTCGGGAAGCTGCGAGAACACGAGAGGAAGAGAAGGAGATCGGCCGATGCACCTGCGCGTCCGAGCGAGCCGCGCGCAATGAAGTCACCTGGACTCGCGCCGCGCGATCCGTTCGAAAGTGTCAGAGTGTTGGGAAACAAGAGAGGCCGAGGGGAGAGGACGAGCGGGACGCGGGGCGCCGCCAGGTATACCGGGATTACGGCATGAGAGAGGAAAAAAAGAAACGGGACTGAGAAAGAGTTCGCTCTCTCGCGAACTCTGCTCGAACGCAGACCAGAGAGAGAGAGAGAGAGAGGAGGAGGGAGGGACAGTGAAAGAGAGCGGAGAGGAGAGAAGAGGGCGAAGCCGGTTACCGGACTCGGCTGAGTCACCACCGCTTCGTGTTCCCTTTGCACCCGCTATTGTGATCCGGCGCGTCCGAAAAAACGAGCGCGTGTGTGTTCGATTTCCTGACCGAAACTTTCGACGAGTTCTCTCCTCTCCTCGTCGAGAGATGCAACTGCTCCGCAATACACGTGTCACTTGGAAAAAACAGACCTTCCCACTCTTTAAGCACACGATACTTTGCAGATATCGTTGGGAGAGTGGTTCGTAAAAAAGGAATTAGGCAGGACGCAGGTTTGAGCGTTTTCGTCTTGGTCGCTGAGTGTTGCTCCGGTAGATCCCGCGTGGAATATTTATCAGACCCGTTCAGCGCCGGGAACAAACTTTTAAGACGAGTCCTCGTAACGTTTTATCACCGACGAAATTAAATGGCAGTTGAGTAACTCGATAACGGCCCGAGTAATTATTCGTGCAATAATATGAATAACGATGGACACGGTAAAAATCTTTCGAAAGTACGATACGTGATCGCTCGAGCATAGATTGTTCGGTGGAAGACTGACGCGTAATATTCCTCGGCAAAATATTAGTAGTCTGTTCAAGACTCATATCCCAGTAAACATCCAACTAACGGTAACATTACGTACGATGTTATAATTCCTCACTCGACAACGTAAGTGCAATATAATGTGCGTTGTATATAACAGTTATTCAGCGGGAAATTATAACAATGTTATTGTTAGTTGGTGCTTTTACTGGGGATTCTCAAGTACAAGATACTGATATAATTCTTAATTTGAAGATACCGTTCCTTTCATATCCAATATTTTTTCTTCTCAGTGCATGAAAATTATTCTTGAATAACGGAACGTGATATTTTTAATGGAGCTGTATATAATTTCTTCGTGTTTTATACTAGAGTTTTATACAAGATTATATATTCTTCATATATAAGATTATACATTCTAGTTTGTATATGTGAGAAAATAAGTTTTGAATTGATACTAATTTCTTTTCTATGAACAGCGCGATAATAGAGAGTTAATTAGCATCAGCATCTGATCGATGTGGACACGTAGCAGCATNGTTTCCCCCCCCCCCCCCCTTGAACAATGGCAACAGCACCACTTTGCAGATGCGGAACCTTAAGTGCAGTTCTTTTCGCTTGAGTGCGCGATGCCCGCATTCCTTCACGTACATCGTCATAAGCGAAATAATGCGGGCAAGAACTACCGCGAAATAAACGACGATAAAGAGCCGCATGAGGCAGCGAATCCATGACCGCTCGGTTAAAATATTGCACTCTCTCTTTCTTTTCCTCTATATCGCGCTTTGACCTTATGCGTTTTGCAAATAACCGAACGATCGCGTCATGACATTTGTGAGTCTTCTTATTTACTCGTGTAATCTGACAAAAATATAAGTGAAAACGGACTGGCAATCGTCGAACCAGCAACGTTCGATCGAGCTTCTCTCGTTGGGAAAAATAGCCAAGATGAAACCGTGAATTTTAACTGAGAAATAAGCACGACGTTGCCCTTATTCAACGGCAATCTATAACGTAAATAGATATACAGAAAAAATATGCTAGATTCAAGTAAACAATTACTCCAATATTTCCTGGCAAATTTTTATCTGTGAATAAAGTAATATTCACTCAATCCAAGTGAAATATTTTTCAAGTAATTACCCAAGTATATAAAATATTTGATTTAAGTAAAATTTACTTAATCCAAGTAAAAATTTGTTAAGGATCGGGGTAATTATTTGATTATTTATTTGAATCTAGCATTTTTTTCTGTACATAACATATGCAATTTTGAGAAGTTGCGTTACATTGTCGCAATAAACACGGATTCACGTTCCTGCGAAGACATCATTGCTGGTATCTACCTCGGACATGCGATACGTGCGCAATTATGACTCAACCGTATACAAATCCGCGCGTACCATTAGTTACAAGATCTCGCATTCCTCCCAATATCGCGGGTTATATTAAGAATGAGATTAACATCGTTGGCGCCGTAATTGCTCTGTGTGATGATTAAAAATGCAAAAATAAACGCGGTTATCAACCCGATAATGTTTATCGTTCAATTCTCCACGAAGTTCGTGAGTCACGATGCAAAGGAGTTACGTTTTATTTCCTAGTTCGAGACTCGAACGATCAAACGCTGCGATATTTCGATTCCGGTTTTCACTGATATAAATTTTATGCGAACGCACAGAGATACATTCATTTTCAAATATTTTCCTTCTCTTTGCGCGCGTGCAAGAAAGTTTCGCTTTGTTTGAGACGCGCTTTCGTACACGCCGCCCGCGTGGCGCGTGATTCCTCGCGATATACTGCACACAACTCGTCCGAGGAAGGTGTTGCGCAACGGTAACGGTAGAAACGCGGTATGGCTGCAATAGAAATTACCCGTTTCCTCGGTGCAATACTCATGCAGTGAGAGTCCGACACTCTGGCATAAAAAAACTCGATAATTTTCGCGGGATAAACACAATCTCTGTGCGGCTCGACGCTGTGTCGCATTTTGCAAACACACAATTTTCAGCCACAAAATTCTCTCCGAGCGAGAATAAGAAAACAGAAGTTATATATAGCAGCCAAATTCAAATGAAAAGAGCGTTCTTAAAAATAGACTTAAGGGAAAAGTGGCTACGTGACTACGAGGCTCTAAAATGAAAATGAGATATTTTGGAACTAATATTTCCCCCTAAATTTTTACTCCGAAAGGAATGAAAAAGAACAAAGTATATGCGAACGTTCGTTGCACCCGCAAGTAAGATCGTGTCGAAAAGTGCTCGAAGCACTCTCTTTTCTTGAAAAGCTACATGAAAAATGAAGGCGGCAGCGGCTTTTGGAGTTAACACGCCGTGCGTTCTTGTTGCGCGCGCGAGCCGGTTTATCATACCGCAGGAAGTACAAATAGTCCGCGGCCTCCGTTAAATTAGCGCCGATAAAACGGCGATATTATTCAAGCAGCCGGCGATAGAGGCCGATGACGGGCGACCGATCGATTTTCGTGTCGGTTTACATCGCGTCTAGTCACGGCTTTGCGGGCAGAGCGTCCGCGTTTTCTCCTTCCTCGCGTTTGCGAATCTCGCACAGGAGATCTCGTTAAGTCAATTTCACGGATACATGATTAATTAATTTGACCTAATTTAGAGCAAATTCAATCGAAAGAATTGCGTTCCACACTCTGCCCGTGACACCGAACGAGCGAAGAAACGAACAACGATGTGTCTCCGAGATATGAGTCCCAGGGATACTGTCACATCCGTTGTTATTACATTTTTACTACACACTTTTTACAAGGACTCATGACTAAGCAGAATATTCCTTAAACTATTCGATGTCCGCGCGATAAACGGCTATTGCGAATCGCGAAAATGGTAAAGAATAACGAAAGCGAAAAAAGAGACTCGCAAAATGTGATCGTACAAAATTGAACGAGTACCAGCCGATTCACCAGACAATCACGAGTCGTCCTTACTCCTCGCCACGTCGCAGCTGGTGGTTCCCCGAAGACACGAGAGGAAGCGCGCTAAGGAAAAAAAAAGCGGGAGACACACACGATCGCGAGGCGATCCGATTATCGGCTATGGATCCGCATATCGTCGATTTTGCGTCGCGTCTCGTTCGCGGATTCTGCGAACTGATCGGTCGCTGATTGCGCGCGTCGCGTCGCGTCACGTAGCAGAAACGACGCGCGAAACGTCCGGCGCGAAACTGACGATTCGAAATGGCGAACACCGCGAGTTCGTCGGAGAACGTGACACAACGCCGACTCGACCGTGAATAGAGGCGCCGCTCGATGAATAACGACGGAATGACCGTTCTCCAGGGCCGTGACTACTTCGAGGCCAAATGGACGGCGGACAGGTAAAAATGATTTAGTCTGGCGACGCGGCAGATCGATAAAAAAAAATACTCTCATCTTCGAATATTTCTTAGCGCTGAAATTACATTAACGCGTTAGTCCCGATCTACAATAGATGCTTTAAGGCTCCTAGGTAGTGGCTGCAACTGTTTTTGATGACGTCAGAAGCTAGAAAACGCATGTCAAGAATGTCTTGCGTTATACGTTCAAATAAAAAGATATACTCACAAAATGACATTTGTGACCGATTCAGTACACTTATAAAATTATCCGTGCACTTTTCTTTTATTTGAACAAGTAATAAATAGTAAAATTAACATTGACAAAATCATGAGAAAAGAGGTTAAAATGAACGGTTCCGTATCAAATTAATTTTGCGACGTTTATTGATTGTTCGGGTGAAAGAAGAATGCACGGACAATTTTACAAGTGCGCTGAATCGATCACAAAAGTCATTTTGTGAGTATATCTTTTTATTTGAACGTATAACGCAAGAATTCTTGACATGCGTTTTCTCGCTTCTGCCGTCATCAAATAAAGACAGTTACAGCGACTATCCAGGAGCCTTAAGCTCTAAGTTTTAAGAATTGATCAATCACAGTCGAATTATAGAAGAAAAATCAATCATGATTGGTCAATTTCTTAAATCTTACGCCTTAAATACTCATTGTAGACTCCGCTTTAACCAAGCGATGATGTGTTCGCCAAATCAATGTTTTACATTCATTGATACGTCTACAAATAAGTATGAATGTGTGCCTATGTAGTTCAATTTACACTGTATAGCGTTTTGTGTGTCCTCAGATAACGCGTGTCTTTTCGTGTGCCGCGTTAAATAAACCGAGGGTCGATAACAGGTTGTAAAATTCTATCTCGGTCGTACACAGAGAAAGCGCAACGATCCGCTTGAGCTTCGAACATTAAGTTCGATTCGATGAAATTTATCGTATAATTTTGGCAAATTGTACAATACGCGTGTACCTGTCCTGTCGTGAGTATTTTGGACATTTCAATATTTTAATCCTAATCTACAATAGGTGTTTTAAGCCCTAAGCCTTAAGAAATTGATCAATCACAATCGAATTACAGAAGAATAATTAGTTGTAATTGGTCAATTTCTTAAAACTCAAGGCTTAAAACTCTATTGTAGATCTAGCTTAAGCGGAGTCTACAATAAGAATTTAAGGCATAAGATTTAAGAAATTGACTAATCATAATTAATTTTTCTTCTATAATTCAACTGTGATTGGTCAATTTCTTAAAGCTTAGAGCTTAAAACATTTATTGTAAACCGGGACTAAGCGGGGCCTACAATAAAAACTTAAGACATAAGATTTAAGACAATTGACCAATCATAATTGGTTTTTCTTCTGTAATTCGACTATGATTGGTCAATTTTCTTAAGGCTTAGGGCTTAAAGCATCTATTGTAGACTAGGACTTACGGGATCTGCAGAAAAGCGATGGAATCTCGGGGAACCGTCAAAGTTGAACTGCGAGAACGTACTGTCGTAGAAATAGAAGAGAGTAATCAGCTTGTGCGGTAACATAGATATTTCTCTTCCCACGATCGGTAATATGGAATTCTGCATTTGTACTTTCTATATTGCCGACTGCAGAAACGCAATCTGTCCGATGTCGCCTTCTGTGGAGGAAGTCTTGGAGCTCTGTGATTCCACTTGACACTGTTTGAATCGATTCGATCAAACGTCCCAGTCAGCATCGTTGGATTGCATAATTATGATGACGACAACGACGACGAAGATGTTACGAAAGCAACGAATATTTTTACGGTAACTTTCCAATATTTGACGTTTTTCGGTCGTATACTAAATAGGATGAACAAATCGCATGCGTAAGCATATATAAAAGTAGCAGATAGCAAAACCAGCATTGTAACTGTATAGATTTCTCTCCAAATATATTATGGCTGCATTCGGCAGAAAAAGCCTAACTAAGTAAGCACTTTCCACTACTTTTTACAATTGTTGTACGATTTTCTACTGAACGGCACTTAGTAATTTACACTACTCCAACATGTTTACTAAATAGCTCACAGCATATTAAAGATATGCTGAAAAAAGTGGCGGTTGCATCACAGAAAAAAAGAAATATTTAATCGACGACGAATTACACAGGTCGACAAAATTTTTACCCAGAAACCAAACTATACTTTCCCGAAGGTTTTCGGTG